CAACTGAGCTATGAAGGTGCTTATAGATACAAACGCAGAAAACATAGTGGCTTCGGCGACACACTTTGCCAACAATACAATTGGACCCACATGGTCAATGAAAAAGGATGAACAGTGCATATACAAATGAAATCTGGTGCTTGGAGCTGGAGTTGAACCAGGGACCTTTGGACTACAGCGTTTCAGGAACTTCTTACAGTCATGTGCTCTACCAACTGAGCTATAAAGGTGCTTATAAATGAAGACGCAGAAAACATAGTGGCTTCGGCGACACACTCTGCCAACACAACAATCAAGCCACCTGGTCAATGAAAAAGGTTGAACAGTGCATAGACCAATGAAATCTGGTGTTTGGAGCAGGAGTTAAACAGCGACCTTTGAACCAGAGCGTTTCAAGAACTTCTTAAAGTCATGTGCTCTACCAAATGAGCTATGAAGGTGCTTATAGATAAAAACGCAGAAAACATAGTGGCTTCGGCGACACACTTTGCCAACATAACTATTGAACCAACATGGTCAATGAAAAAGTTTGAACAGTGCATAGACAAATGAAATCTGGTGTTTGGAGCTGGAGTTGAACCAGTGTCCTTTGGACCAGAGCGTTTCAAGAACTTCTTAAACACATGTGCTCTACCAACTGAGCTATGAAGGTGCTTATAGATAAAAACGCAGAAAACATAGTGGCTTCGGCGACACACTTTGCCAACATAACTATTGAACCAACATGGTCAATGAAAAAGTTTGAACAGTGCATAGACAAATGAAATCTGGTGTTTGGAGCTGGAGTTGAACCAGTGTCCTTTGGACCACAGCGTTTAAGGATCTTCTTAAAGTCATGTGCTCTACCAACTGAGCTATGAAGGTGCTTATAGATAAAAACGCAGAAAACATAGTGGCTTCGGCGACACACTTTGCCAAAACAACAATCAAGCCACCTGGTCAATGAAAAAGGATGAACAGTGCATATACAAATGAAATCTGGTGCTTGGAGCTGGAGTTGAACCAGCGACCTTTGGACCACAGCGTTTCAGGAACTTCTTAAACACATGTGCTCTACCAACTGAGCTATGAAGGTGCTTATAGATAAAAACGCAGAAAACATAGTGGCTTCGGCGACACACTTTGCCAACAATACAATTGGACCCACATGGTCAATGAAAAAGGTTGAACAGTGCTTAGACAAATGAAATCTGGTGTTTGGAGCAGGAGTTGAACCAGCGACCTTTGGACCACAGCGTTTCGGGAACTTCTTAAAGTCATGTGCTCTACCAACTGAGCTATGAAGGTGCTTATAGATAAAAACGCAGAAAACATAGTGGCTACGGCGACACACTTTGCCAAAACAACAATCGAGCCACCTGGTCAATGAAAAAGGATGAACAGTGCATATACAAATGAAATCTGGTGCTTGGAGCTGGAGTTGAACCAGCGACCTTTGGACCACAGCGTTTTAGGAACTTCTTAAAGTCATGTGCTCTACCAACTGAGCTATGAAGATGCTTATAGTTAAAAACGCAGAAAACATTGTGGCTTCGGCGAAACACTTTGCCAACATAACTATTGAACCAACATGGTCAATGAAAAAGGTTGAACAGTGCATAGACCAATGAAATGTGGTGTTTGGAGCAGGAGTTGAAACAGCTTCCTTTGGACCACAGCGTTTCAGGAACTTCTTAAAGTCATGTGCTCTACCAACTGAGCTATGAAGGTGCTTATAGACACAAACGCAGAAAACATAGTGGCTTCGGCGACACACTTTGCCAACAATACAATTGGACCCACATGGTCAATGAAAAAGGTTGAACAGTGCATAGACCAATGAAATCTGGTGTTTGGAGCAGGAGTTGAACCAGCGACCTTTGGACCACAGCGTTTCAGGAACTTCTTAAAGTCATGTGCTCTACCAACTGAGCTATGAAGGTGCTTATAGATACAAACGCAGAAAACATAGTGGCTTCGGCGACACACTTTGCCAACATAACTATTGAACCAACATGGTCAATGAAAAAGGTTGAACAGTGCATATACAAATGAAATCTGGTGTTTGGAGCTGGAGTTGAACCAGCGACCTTTGGACCACAGCGTTTCAGGAACTTCTTAAAGTCATGTGCTCTACCAACTGAGCTATGAAGGTGCTTATAGATAAAAACGCAGAAAACATAGTGGCTTCGGCGACACACTTTGCCAACATAACTATTGAACCAACATGGTCAATGAAAAAGGATGAACAGTGCATACACCAATGAAATCTGGTGTTTGGAGCTGGAGTTGAACCAGTGTCCTTTGGACCACAGCGTTTAAGGAACTTCTTAAAGTCATGTGCTCTACCAACTGAGCTATGAAGGTGCTTATAGATAAAAACGCAGAAAACATAGTGGCTTCGGCGACACACTTTGCCATCAATACACTTGGACCCACATGGTCAATGAAAAAGGTTGAACAGTGCTTAGACAAATGAAATCTGGTGTTTGGAGCAGGAGTTGAACCAGCAACCTTTGGAACACAGCATTTCAGGAACTTCTTAAAGTCATGTGCTCTACCAACTGAGCTATGAAGGTGCTTATAGATAAAAACGCAGAAAACATAGTGGCTTCGGCGACACACTTTGCCAAAACAACAATCAAGCCACCTGGTCAATGAAAAAGGATGAACAGTGCATATACAAATGAAATCTGGTGCTTCGAGCTGGAGTTGAACCAGGGACCTTTGGACCACAGCGTTTCAGGAACTTCTTACAGTCATGTGCTCTACCAACTGAGCTATGAAGGTGCTTATAGATGAAAACGCAGAAAACATAGTGGCTTCGGCGACACACTTTGCCAACACAACAATCAAGCCACCTGGTCAATGAAAAAGGTTGAACAGTGCATAAATCAATGAAATCTGGTGTTTGGAGCAGGAGTTGAACCAGCAACCTTTGGACCACAGCATTTCAGGAACTTCTTAAAGTCATGTGCTCTACCAACTGAGCTATGAAGGTGCTTATAGATAAAAACGCAGAAAACATAGTGGCTTCGGCGACACACTTTGCCAACATAACTATTGAACCAACATGGTCAATGAAAAAGGATGAACAGTGCATACACCAATGAAATCTGGTGTTTGGAGCTGGAGTTGAACCAGCGTCCTTTGGACCACAGCGTTTAAGGAACTTCTTAAAGTCATGTGCTCTACCAACTGAGCTATGAAGGTGCTTATAGAGACAACCGCAGAAAACATAGTGGCTTCGGCGACACACTTTGCCAACATAACTATTGAACCAACATGGTCAATGAAAAAGGTTGAACAGTGCATACACCAATGAAATCTGGTGCTTGGAGCTGGAGTTGAACCAGGGACCTTTGGACCACAGCGTTTCAGGAACTTCTTACAGTCATGTGCTCTACCAACTGAGCTATGAAGGTGCTTATAGATGAAAACGCAGAAAACATAGTGGCTTCGGCGACACACTTTGCCAACACAACAATCAAGCCACCTGGTCAATGAAAAAGGTTGAACAGTGCATAAATCAATGAAATCTGGTGTTTGGAGCAGGAGTTGAACCAGCGACCTTTGGACCACAGCATTTCAGGAACTTCTTAAAGTCATGTGTTCTACCAACTGAGCTATGAAGGTGCTTATAGATAAAAACGCAGAAAACATAGTGGCTTCGGCGACACACTTTGCCAAAACAACAATCAAGCCACCTGGTCAATGAAAAAGGATGAACAGTGCATATACAAATGACAACTGGATGCTTGGAGCTGGAGTTGAACCAGCGACCTTTGGACCACAGCGTTTCAGGAACTTCTTAAAGTCATGTGCTCTACCAACTGAGCTATGAAGGTGCTTATAGATAAAAACGCAGAAAACATAGTGGCTTCGGCGACACACTTTGCCAAAACAACAATCAAGCCACCTGGTGAATGAAAAAGGATGAACAGTGCATATAGAAATGAAATCTGGTGCTTGGAGCTGGAGTTGAACCAGCGACCTTTGGACCACAGCGTTTCAGGAACTTCTTAAACACATGTGCTCTACCAACTGAGCTATGAAGGTGCTTATAGATAAAAACGCAGAAAACATAGTGGCTACGGCGACACACTTTGCCAAAACAACAATCAAGCCACCTGGTGAATGAAAACGGATGAACAGTGCATATACAAATGAAATCTGGTGCTTGGAGCTGGAGTTGAACCAGCGACCTTTGGACCACAGCGTTTCAGGAACTTCTTAAAGTCATGTGCTCTACCAACTGAGCTATGAAGGTGCTTATAGATAAAAACGCAGAAAACATAGTGGCTTCGGCGACACACTTTGCCAACATAACTATTGAGCCAACATGGTCAATGAAAAAGGTTGAACAGTGCATACACCAATGAAATCTGGTGTTTGGAGCTGGAGTTGAACCAGCGTCCTTTGGACCACAGCGTTTCAGGAACTTCTTAAAGTCATGTGCTCTACCAACTGAGCTAAGAAGGTGCTTATAGATACAACTGCAGAAAACATAGTGGCTTCTGCGATACACTTTGCCAACATAACTATTGAACCAACATGGTCAATGAAAAAGGTTGAACAGTGCATACAGCAATGAAATGTGGTGTTTGGAGCAGGAGTTGAACCAGCGACCTTTGGACCACAGCGTTTCAGGAACTTCTTACAGTCATGTGCTCTACCAACTGAGCTATGAAGGTGCTTATAGATGAAACTGCAGAAAACATAGTGGCTTCGGCGACACACTTTGCCAACACAACAATCAAGCCACCTGGTCAATGAAAAAGGTTGAACAGTGCATAGACCAATGAAATCTGGTGCTTGGAGCTGGAGTTGAACCAGCGACCTTTGGACTACAGCTTTCCAGGAACTTCTCACAGTCCTCTGTTCTACCAACTGAGCTATGAAGGTGCTTATAGATACAAACGCAGAAAACGTAGTGGCTTCGGCGACACACTTTGCCGACATAACTATTGGACCGACATGGTCAATGAAAAAGGTTGTACAGTGCATACACTAATGAAATCCGGTGATTGGAGCTGGAGTTGAACCAGCGACCATTTGGACCACAGCTTTTCAGGAACTTCTTAAAGTCATGTGCTCTACCAACTGAGCTATGAAGGTGCTTATAGATACAAACGCAGAAAACATAGTGGCTTCGGCGACACACTTTGCCAACAATACAATTGGACCCACATGGTCAATGAAAAAGGTTGAACAGTGCATAGACCAATGAAATCTGGTGTTTGGAGCAGGAGTTGAACCAGCGCCCTTTGGACCACAGCGTTTCAGGAACTTCTCACAGTCCTCTGTTCTACCAACTGAGCTATGAAGGTGCTTATAGATACAAACGCAGAAAACATAGTGGCTTCGGCGACACACTTTGCCGACATAACTATTGGACCCACATGGTCAATGAAAAAGGATGAACAGTGCATATACCAATGAAACCTGGTTCTTGGAGCTGGAATTCAACCAGCGACCTTTGGACCACAGCTTTTCAGGAACTTCTTAAAGTCATGTGCTCTACCAAGTGAGCTATGAAGGTGCTTATAGATACAAACGCAGAAAACATAGTGGCTTCGGCGACACACTTTGCCAACAATACAATTGGACCCACATGGTCAATGAAAAAGGTTGAACAGTGAATACATCAATGAAATCAGGTGTTTGGAGCAGGAGTTGAACCAGTGACCTTTGGACCACAGCGTTTCAGGAACTTCTTAAAGTCCTCTGCTCTACCAACTGAGCTATGAAGGTGCTCATAGACACAAACGCAGAAAACATAGTGGCTTCTGCGATACACTTTGCCAACATAACTATTGAACCAACATGGTCAATGAAAAAGGTTGAACAGTGCATACAGCAATGAAATCTGGTGTTTGGAGCTGGAGTTGAACCAGCGTCCTTTGGACCACAGCGTTTCAGGAACTTCTTACAGTCCTCTGCTGTACCAACTGAGCTATGAAGGTGCTTACAGACACAACCGCAGAAAACATAGTGGCTTCGGCGACACACTTTGCCAACACAACAATCAAGCCACCTGGTCAATGAAAAAGGATGAACAGTGCATATACCAATTAAATTTGGTGCTTGGAGCTATAGTTGAACCAGCGACCTTTGGACCACAGCTTTTCAGGAACTTCTTACAGTCCTCTGCTCTACCAACTGAGCTATGAAGGTGCTTATAGACATGACCGCAGAAAACATAGTGGCTGAGACGACACACTTTGCCAACATAAGTATTGGACCCACATGGTCGATGAAAAAGGTTCAACAGTGCATACAACAATGAAATCTAGTGTTTGGAGCTGGAGTTGAACCTGCGACCTTTGGACCACAACGTTTCAGGAACTTCTTAAAGTGCTCTGCTCTACCAAATGAGCTATGAAGGTGCTTACAGACACAAACGCAGAAAACATAGTGGCTTCGGCGACACTCTTTGCCAACATAACTATTGAACCAACATGGTCAATGAAAAAGGTTGAACAGTGCATACACCAATGAAATCTGGTGTTTGGAGCTGGAGTTGAACCAGGGACCTTTGGACCACAGCGTTTCAGGAACTTCTTAAAGTCATGTGCTCTACCAACTGAGCTATGAAAGTGCTTATAGACACAACCGCAGAAAACATAGTGGCTTCGGCAACACACTTTGCCGACATAACTATTGGACCCACATGGTCAATGAAAAAGGTTGAACAGTGAATACACCAATGAAATCTGGTGTTTGGAGCTGGAGTTGAACCAGGGACCTTTGGACCACAGCGTTTCAGGAACTTCTTAAAGTCATGTGCTCTACCAACTGAGCGATGAAGGTGCTTATAGATACAACTGCAGAAAACATAGTGGCTTCGGCGACACACTTTGCCAACATAACTATTGGACCCACATGGTCGATGAAAAAGGTTGAACAGTGCATACACCAATGAAATCTAGTGTTTGGAGAAGGAGTTGAACCAGCGACCTTTGGACCACAGCTTTTCAGGAACTTCTTAAAGTCATGTGCTCTACCAACTGAGCTATGAAAGTGCTTATAGACACAAACGCAGAAAACATAGTGGCTTCGGCGACACACTTTGCCAACATAACTATTGGACCTACATGGTCGATGAAAATGGTTGAATAGTGCAAACACCAATGAAATCTAGTGTTTGGAGCTGGAGTTGAACCAGCGACCTTTGGACCAGAACGTTTCAGGAACTTCTTAAAGTGCTCTGCTCTACCAAATGAGCTATGAAGGTGGTTATAGATACAACCGCAGAAAACATAGTGGCTTCGGCGACACACTTTGCCAACACAACAATCAAGCCACCTGGTCAATGAAAAAGGTTGAACAGTGCATAGACCAATGAAATCTGGTGTTTGGAGCTGGAGTTGAACCAGCGCCCTTTGGACCACAGCGTTTCAGGAACTTCTTAAAGTCATGTGCTCTAGCAACTGAGCTATGAAGGTGCTTATAGACACAAACGCAGAAAACATAGTGGCTTCGGCGACACACTTTGCCGACATAACTATTGGACCCACATGGTCAATGAAAAAGGATGAACAGTGCATATACCAATGAAACCTGGTTCTTGGAGCTGGAATTGAACCAGCGACCTTTGGACCACAGCTTTTCAGGAACTTCTTAAAGTCATGTGCTCTACCAACTGAGCTATGAAGGTGCTTATAGATACAAACGCAGAAAACATAGTGGCTTCGGCGACACACTTTGCCAACAATACAATTGGACCCACATGGTCAATGAAAAAGGTTGAACAGTGTATAGACCAATGAAATCTAGTGTTTGGAGCAGGAGTTGAACCAGCGACCTTTAGACCACAGCGTTTCAGGAACCTCTTAAAGTCATGTGCTCTACCAACTGAGCTATGAAGGTGCTTATAGATATAAACGCAGAAAACATAGTGGCTTCAGCGACACACTTTGCCAACAATACAGTTGGACCCACATGGTCAATGAAAAAGGTTGAACAGTGAATACACCAATGAAATCAGGTGTTTGGAGCAGGAGTTGAACCAGCATCCTTTGGACCACAGCGTTTCAGGAATTTCTTAAAGTCCTCTGCTCTACCAACTGAGCTATGAAGGTGCTCATAGACACAAACGCAGAAAACATAGTGGCTTCTGCGATACACTTTGCCGACATAACTATTGGACCCACATGGTAAATGAAAAAGGATGAACAGTGCATATACCAATGAAACCTGGTTCTTGGAGCTGGAATTGAACAAGCGACCTTTGGACCACAGCGTTTCAGGAACCTCTTAAAGTCATGTGCTCTACCAAGTGAGCTATGAAGGTGCTTATAGATATAAACGCAGAAAACATAGTGGCTTCAGCGACACACTTTGCCAACAATACAGTTGGACCCACATGGTCAATGAAAAAGGTTTAACAGTGCATAGACCAATGAAATCTGGTGTTTGGAGCAGGAGTTGAACCAGCGCCCTTTGGACCACAGCGTTTCAGGAACTTCTTAAAGTCATGTGCTCTACCAACTGAGCTATGAAGGTGCTTATAGACACAAACGCAGAAAACATAGTGGCTTCGGCGACACACTTTGCCGACATAACTATTGGACCCACATGGTCAATGAAAAAGGATGAACAGTGCATATACCAATGAAACCTGGTTCTTGGAGCTGGAATTGAACCAGCGACCTTTGGACCACAGCTTTTCAGGAACTTCTTAAAGTCATGTGCTCTACCAACTGAGCTATGAAGGTGCTTATAGATACAAACGCAGAAAACATAGTGGCTTCGGCGACACACTTTGCCAACAATACAATTGGACCCACATGGTCAATGAAAAAGGTTGAACAGTGTATAGACCAATGAAATCTAGTGTTTGGAGCAGGAGTTGAACCAGCGACCTTTAGACCACAGCGTTTCAGGAACCTCTTAAAGTCATGTGCTCTACCAACTGAGCTATGAAGGTGCTTATAGATATAAACGCAGAAAACATAGTGGCTTCAGCGACACACTTTGCCAACAATACAGTTGGACCCACATGGTCAATGAAAAAGGTTGAACAGTGAATACATCAATGAAATCAGGTGTTTGGAGCAGGAGTTGAACCAGCGTCCTTTGGACCACAGCGTTTCAGGAACTTCTTAAAGTCCTCTGCTCTACCAACTGAGCTATGAAGGTGCTCATAGACACAAACGCAGAAAACATAGTGGCTTCTGCGATACACTTTGCCGACATAACTATTGGACCCACATGGTCAATGAAAAAGGATGAACAGTGCATATACCAATGAAACCTGGTTCTTGGAGCTGGAATTGAACAAGCGACCTTTGGACCACAGCGTTTCAGGAACCTCTTAAAGTCATGTGCTCTACCAAGTGAGCTATGAAGGTGCTTATAGATATAAACGCAGAAAACATAGTGGCTTCAGCGACACACTTTGCCAACAATACAGTTGGACCCACATGGTCAATGAAAAAGGTTGAACAGTGCATAGACCAATGAAATCTGGTGTTTGGAGCAGGAGTTGAACCAGCGACCTTTGGACCACAGCGTTTCAAGAACTTCTTAAAGTCATGTGCTCTACCAACTGAGCTATGAAGGTGCTTATAGACACAAACGCAGAAAACATAGTGGCTTCGGCGACACACTTTGCCGACATAACTATTGGACCCACATGGTCAATGAAAAAGGATGAACAGTGCATATACCAATGAAACCTGGTTCTTGGAGCTGGAATTGAACCAGCGACCTTTGGACCACAGCTTTTCAGGAACTTCTTAAAGTCATGTGCTCTACCAACTGAGCTATGAAGGTGCTTATAGATACAACCGCAGAAAACATAGTGGCTTCGGCGACACACTTTGCCAACAATACAATTGGACCCACATGGTCAATGAAAAAGGTTGAACAGTGTATAGACCAATGAAATCTAGTGTTTGGAGCAGGAGTTGAACCAGCGACCTTTAGACCACAGCGTTTCAGGAACCTCTTAAAGTCATGTGCTCTACCAAGTGAGCTATGAAGGTGCTTATAGATATAAACGCAGAAAACATAGTGGCTTCAGCGACACACTTTGCCAACAATACAGTTGGACCCACATGGTCAATGAAAAAGGTTGAACAGTGAATGCATCAATGAAATCAGGTGTTTGGAG